CACACACACGACAGTTCGTCCGTCGATTTCGACGATGACCACCGTGTGCCCCACAGACTGCATTGTGGGAGCAGGGACGGTGACTTGCGCAGGGGTTTATAGTGCCAGTAGACTTGCGCTGCATCTACCTACACTCTCTCCTCCTCCTCCGCCTGGGCCCGGTGTCAAGACAGAGTCAAGAAGACCGGAGACGGGGGAGGCCGCAGGTGGATGGCTCGGACGGATCCTCGCCTTGGCGCTCCACTCCGCACCCCCTGGTCCACACACAAATGACCAGGATTTTGACCACAAAACAATGGGGTGGCGTCAGTGGTCCAGTTGAGCGACGAATGCCGACAACAGGGTCCGCCAGCGCACCAGCAAACTGTCTTAACTTGTGCCGCTTTAACACAAAACCGAATGGCCTTATTTATACGCCCTGTCAGAAAAGAGCACCCATGATAAGTATTAGCAGGCTCTTAGAAGACAGTGCCGGCTGTATAAAGAAAAAACAGAAAGAATTCAAAAAACACCCCTGAACTTACTGGTCTGACCGGAACAGTCCCATAGGCCTTTTTCGTTATATTCGACGGTAGTGGGGGCGGCGTTTCTTTTCGTAGCTACGTGGAAAAATAATGAGGAAACCAATTAACGTGCTCACTGATGCTTGTCGGTAATCACTGCATTGACAGAGAAACCAAAAAGGCTCGAAAAAGGGGGGGACCCTAGATCCACCGCTTGTGCATATCAGGTGGCAAAAAATACAAGGTAGATAAACGGGTGTGCAGGAAAAAAAACCTTAAAAAGTAAGTCTCGAAGCATCATGTATTTTGTCGTCACATCGCCTGCTTCGGAGATAGGTGCGTCATAGTCGTAGCTTGTGGTAATGGCCGCGTCAGAGCCACTGCGGCCACCATTCCAGAAACCGAAATTGGTGCCTCCGTGAAACATATAGCTGAAGGAGAACATGCAAACAAGACTATTGGAGCTGTGGACAGATACAGACGTAGCAGGAGCACACGATAATTAAAGAAACCAAGGGAGTTGTGAGAGTCGAGAACACAGTGTTAAAGAGATGCGTTACTAAGGAGGTTATTTGCTCAAGCACCGACATTTGACCGCCGTCATACGTGCAGTGCAAACGGAGAACTCGGATGCGGAAACGATCAATAACGCGATGGAGACCAAAGGCTGCTGAGTTCTCTACGATGGCTGCATTTCGAGACGTGTGGAGTTCGGAGAAAGTTTCTTCTGGCGGAAGACGGCCCACGTCAGTTATAGAACTCAAGCTAAAGTCAATTAACCCCTAGAGGCGCCTTGTGAAATAAAGCGAACTGCCTCCTGCCACTCAGGTAGGCTTTGATGGGACCCCGACGGGTCTTTAATAAAAATTTATTAATTACGTGGCTCCGCACACGCAGCCCGATGGCGCAGCTCACATCGTCGCGAAGTACAAACGGCGTCACCACACCGGTGGACCATCGTGGAACAGGCGGCACAAACCAGACCTAGCCACAGACGTAGCACCCTCCCGCACGGAACAACGATATAAATGTTCACACGTTGCTGCACTATAGCAGTTTCTGATTATGAACTCCAGGTAGAGTTCGAAAGTTCAGGCCAATAAATCTACCGTCCCAGTGATCGTGCCTTTGTCTTCTTTTAAGGGGGATTAGTGTTCAAAACTACAGCCTGTGGAGCTTGAGATTTGTCGGAGTTTACCAAGTGCACAAGATGGAAGGTGGGTGTGTGTACGCCTCCTCGAAACTCGTGAGACAAACCGCAGAATGGCGTGGTGGCCTTATTACCCTCTGAAGGAGAATGCTTGCAGTGGGCCACGATGAGGGTTCATACACACTTCCGGAGGGATAAAAACCCTTCCAGATTGCCTAAGGTGGTCTACCCCCAGCACAAAAGTGTGCGAATCAGTCGACATTCAACAGATCCTAAAAGCAATCAAAACAGTAAAGACGGTACTGAAACAGAATGTGTAATTTTAAGATTACAATCCGTGTGCCCAGTTAAACTTCGGATAAAAGGTGAGGGTTGAAGCAGTTTTGACTTCTGCCACCTCAGTGTTGCTGTTCAAAACACAATTCCTACTCCCTCATTGGAAGCGATACAAGGGCGGCAAAACCTGGTGGTTGTCGAACCCTCGCGAATTTGACTTTTGTCACAAAAGGACAGGGCGTATTGAGCTGATGCAGATTGGGAAACTACGGTACAGTAATAATTCGGAAAAGGTTAGTAGTACGCTTATCAAACATTACGGCTTACAGCTAGTCCTTTAAAAGAGCGCGTTAGAAAGCGCTGCATTGCTACAATTGGAAGTCGCCAATGTTGTATAAAAAGACAGTCAGTCGAAAGAGTCCTGTGGAAAGGGTGGGCACACACACACACACACACACACAAACACACGACGACAGTTCGTCCGTCGGTTTCGACGATGACCACCGTGTGCCCCACAGCTGCAGCAGCGGTGGGAGCAGGGACGGTGACTTGCGCAGGGGTTTATAGTGCCGGTAGACTTGCGCTGCATCTACCTACACTCTCTCCTCCTCCCCCGTCTGGGCCCGGTGTCAAGACAGAG